TTGAAATAACTATGTTTCTTCTTAGTTTTTCCTTATCAGTTGTGTACATTAGTGTTTTATCTTACATCTAATGTTGTTAAATTAATGTTTATTGCATTATTTCAGTATCATGTGTGTTACCATGATGGTGTTTAGTGTTTGTGTGAATGACACTGAGCACCTTCTATGTATATGTATTAGTATTTCCCTTCTCAGCTTTTGGAAGAGCTGATTGTGATGAGCTTTGATTCATCATGCGACTCTCTCATCACCACCTGTTTTTGGTGGTTATCAGCATTTCAATGGTTTAAAACAGATATTAGTACTTCAATATGCTGGTTTATTAACATTACATCAGTTAATGAAATATGTTTTTTTATTGTGAATTTAAGTTAAGTCTGTAAAACCTAAAATGTTTCTACCATATTTTTAACTGTGAAGTTCTGGCAACCACAGCTTGCCGGTATTTTACTGTAAATGTCACAGATTTTTTTTTACAGTGTGGTATTTTCAGATGGAGCAGCATTTACTACACAGAGCTGTAGTTCACTGAGAAGCTGCGCAAACTTATCATTATCGCGCGATTATGTCGTCTTGATTATGAATGCGGTTGTGCGTAGCTTGTCAGAGAACTCCGGCTCTGTGTAGTAAATGCTGCTCCATCTGAAAGCAGGTGATGGAGATTTACTACTAATCACAGAACCGGCTTTACTGACGAGATGCGCGTGACTCTCGCAGTCGATTAATCATTGGGTTTTCTGCTGTTTGTGGTGTTCAGGGCTCGACGTGAGGTGCGAGGCGTGTCAGAGGTTTTTCCGTGACGGGCTGACGATCTCATTCACCAAAATCCTGACGGATGAGGCCGTGAGCGGCTGGAAGTTTGAGATCCACGTGAGTCTGGGTCTGTCTGTGATCGTACGGTGCAGACGTCTCCCTGATGCTGATCTGTTGCTCTCGTCCCGTTGCAGAGGTGCATCATCAGTAACACCCAGCGTCTGGTGGAGCTCTGCGTGGTCAAGCTGGCTCAGGATTGGTTCCCTCTGCTGGAACTGCTGTACATGGCCACTAACCCGCACTGCAAGTTCCACATTTACAACGGCACGCGTCCATCCGAGAGCGTTCCTGCGGGAGTGCAGCTCGCCGACGATGAGCTGTTTGCCCGGCCGCCCGACCCACGCTCTCCTAAGGTACAGCACTGCTTCTGCGCCCGCATTCACAAAACATTTTATCTTACCACTAATAGTTCTCCTAAATAGCAGTAAACGTTTTTAGCTAATAGTTTTCTCTTAAAACCTATTCACAAAGCTGCTGAGACTAACTTCTACTAAGGAATAGAGAGAAGTCTTAAGCACAGAGTAAGGGGGCGGGGCTGACCTCGTTGCTATGGATGATGTCATCATGTTTATTAACTATGCTCACAGTGATTGCCTGATAGTCTCTGTCAGAGATTTATTCATAGAAATATTGTAGAGCGCGATAATATGTTGCCATATTCAAATAAAGGTTATAAAATAAAATGTTAATTGCCACAGATTTTAAAATGCAGGCTAAGTGTCACTAATTAAACAAGTATATCTTCAGCTAATTGTCAGCCTCTTACATTCAATTTAATTCAAGTTTATTTGTATAGCACTTTTTACCATACAAATCATTGCAAAGCAACTTTACAGAAAATTAAGAATATATTATCTTTATATCTAATATACAAGAATATTATATCTTTACAGAATATATTACATGTGTGCTCCTCATAATTAGTGAATATGTATATAAACAGCCTTTTAATTAACAGAGTAGAATAATCATGGCTGAACGTAAAAGAAAACCAAACTGGACGCAAACACAGCTGTTACTTCTTGCCCAGCTGGTTAATGAAAACGAGTTGGGATAACCTTCAAATCCAAAGGCGATACCTTTTTAAAAGATCATTATCGTCAAATATTTCTAAAATGTTTACGTTCAGAGGCAGATTTCCAGCAACAGCTATTTTAGGATAGTTTGTGGCTTGGTCTTAGGACTGCTCTTCACTGCTCCTAACCTTTCACAGATTTAAGAGCTAGTTTTAGAGCTAAAACGCTCCTAAATCGGCGAGTTATGAGCTACTTTTAGCCTGAAGATGTTTTGTGATTACGGGCCCTGATCTCCCAATCACAGCTGGGTGTGACGCTTTTAGTGCAGTTATCAAACACAGAGCAGTTATTGAGTACCAGTCTCTCTCTTACTGATCAGTCACTGGTTAAAAAATGTATATTCAACAATCACAGGCAGTCCTGTTCAGACAGAATGATGCACAGCTCAGCTGAAGAGCAGGAGGTCATTAGCATTGAAGCGGTGTAAGGAAACACGGATGTATTTGGTTAAAAACAATCAAACACATGTCTGTGAAACACATATGAACCTCCACTTAAGAGCGTAGTTACTGGTGTACAGTGTCTAATTAAAGAGGGTAATATTTAAAGGGGTCATGAATTGAGAAACCAAAATTCCCTTGATCTTTTGGCATATAAGAGGTCATTGTCCTATAAAAACATCCTGTATGTTTCAGAACTCAAACTTTGTTGTTAGTCTAAAAACAGCTTATATTGAAGGCAGTCTGCCAAAACCACAGCTTGTGGAATGTGACACTATGATGTAATAGTCTGGATAAGCACCGCCTCCACAGAAGATAATCAACACCTGCTTCTACATCGCTGTCTGTTTAGCCCCGCCCACCGGTTCTATATCGCTGTCTGTTTAGCCCCGCCCACGATTCCACATCACCGCTTGTTTAGCCCTGCCCACCGATTCTACATCACCGCTTGTTTAGCCCCGCCCACCGATTCCACATCACCGCTTGTTTAGCCCCGCCCCCCGATTCCACATCACCGCTTGTTTAGCCCCGCCCCCCGATTCCACATCACCGCTTGTTTAGCCCCGCCCCCCGATTCCACATCACCGCTTGTTTAGCCCCGCCCACCGATTCCACATCACTGCCTGTTTAGCCCCGCCCACCGATTCCACAGCGCTGCCTGTCAAGCC